ACCAGTCAGAGACAAAGTGAGGGCACCACACAAAGTCAGGCACCGTACACCTAGCTATTAGTAGAGAGTGGCATAGACTGACGGATAGACAATCGCAGCAGGCATCGTGGGTGTCGTTTAGCTATTAACAGACAGACTAGCATAAAAAGGGCAGGCAGCAAGCGCAGCGTACGACGCGGAACTTCAACAAACAAAAGGAAGAAACAAAGCAAGCGCACTTACCTGAGGGGAAACTTACCTGGTGGCCGCCTACGATGGTCCAGGCAGAGCCTCGTCTCGACGATGTCGACGCGAAGATCCATCCGGCCAGCGCAGACCACAGTACCGCGCGTGCAGGTGCACGCACGGATACCCTCACCTGGTTTAGCCCGCCGGTCGAGACGGTTGCCCGGGGTGTGGCCGCCGAGCAGAGCCCAGCTACGTGGAGCCACAGGTGAGAGTTGGGTGCCAGCAAATGGACGCTAGGCGTAGTCTCACCTGCAAGCAAGTGAGTGACCACTACGACCTTCACGTGAACCCACCGCTGACACGCCTACACCCCCCCATCACACACACACACACACACACACACACACACACATGCACACATTTCTACCATCAGAGAGAGGTGAGCGCGCATACACGAGGGTCCGGAGAAGATGCCAGCCTGGCGGCTGCTTTAAGATCACATCTGCCTGGAGCGGTGAGGTGGTGCATGTCGGTGTGGAGGGACCCGGTTAACGAACACGTCCTTCGTCAGTTCTGCATACCAAATTGCCAAATTCATCGAACGGGCCAACATCAGGTGTTTTTGGAGTCCTAGTTCATCCGGCAGGAACTGGGGAGGACAACGCTGGATGCGTCGATAAGTGGTCAAATCTGTCGTTTCTCATACGTAAGAATATGAGCAGTACCTTTGCGCACAGAACAGAAACTTGGATAGGTCTGCCAACGGAGAATTTCTAACAAGGACAATTTCGAGCTCATCATTCAGGTAGGAAAGAACTGAAAGTTGAGCTGAACGAGTTCTGACAATTGTGTTACGGGATCACGACCTGTGTATAATATGAGGGTAAATGCTAAGCCACCGACCATGCCAGATTGTAGAGCAAAAAACGGGCCGGCTTGGCCTTGCAACTCTGGTCAAGCCGCTGCAGACAGTCGTTACAATCACACCGTCACGAGGTAGACTTGCATTGCATTTACCGCACTCGCTTTCTTCACCCACTTTATTCTGATGACAAAATAATATCAAGACCGTTGGGCTCGGGTGCAGTGATTGACAAAACCAAACGGTCCGACTACGCGTGCGCCACACGGCCTCGTCCACGCGGAATGCACAAGAATTTCACGAGGGCGGCTCGGATCCCAGATGAGTGAGGTTGCCTCAAAGATCACACATTAAGAGGCAGCCATTGCAGTCTGATTCTCAGTTATCAATGCACTTCAAAGTGCTCCCATGCAGACCAAGCAATCCGGATAACCCGGTGAATTGTAAATAACGCTTCTCTAAAAGAAGACGAAGGCATGATCACTGGGACGGTAGATTTATTGGCCTTAGCTCTCGAACTCGAACTGGAGTTCATCATCAGAGACTGCTAGAGTGCAGCAACGTGTGAACATTTATATCGTTGTTCCGTGCAGCCACGGACGTAGTCCTCCCCCCGCAGGGAACAACGATATAAATGTTCGCACGCTGCTGCACTCTAGCAGTCTCTGATGATGAACTCCAGTTCGAGTTCGAAAGCTAAGGCCAATAAAGCTACCGTCCCAGTGATCGTGCCTTCGTTTTCTTTTGAACAAGAACCTGGCATGCGCATATTCTCTTCCATTTGTGATAACGCTTCTCAAACGGGAAATCCCCGCATTAAAAAGACAGCCGGAGCAGAGCAAATTGCCCAGTCCGACTCGAGCAACGCAAAATTACGGTTTTCTGATTCTCCTTTTGGAGAATGTTGATCTGCAGGGCAACGAAAGCATTGCACTTTTCGAGTCGAAGTCAAATGACTGTTGAAACGGTGGGCATATCTCCGCTCACCATTCTCTCCTTACGACTAAGCACAGCCGAAATCCGCAAACATGAATACAGGGGGAACAAAAAGGAATACCTTTGGGTGAATTTACTCCCACCCCCTGCTGGAAACCAAACGAGACGCATGAAGAGGACAGTTTCTGCATCTTCCCTCTATAAAAATTGATAAAGGAAGACTGCTGGATGTTTAACTGAGAACAGAACGGCTGATAACTACTCGCAGGAATGAAGTATCGCAGATTTTACGAGATGACTTGATAGGAGACAGTAAAGCGGTGAGACAATCGGGGGAGGACTAATTATCACTGCGATCAGAGATCACGGCATTGGCGACCTACGCATCAGACACAATGGGCCGGAATCTCTAGTCTCGAAATGCCAGATCCGGAATAAATCTCTCCTGGTTGAGGCCTCTTCTTTTTTGACTACTCTAGACGAAGCATGGCCAGCCAGAACCCAGACCCCTTGGAAAACCTTCTTTATACAGGTCTTTAGTTGCATATTTTTTCGAAATCTCAAGTCTTATACAGGGCAGTTGCTGCCCCTTCGAGGCTTAATGGGCCGAAATAATACAAACTCCTCGGCAGTAGAGTAGAATACATATAAAAACAAAGAAGGAACGAGATAAAAGAGAGTAGTTCTACCGAAACAGTGAATACTCCGAGTCACAACGGACAGGGCAACGAGCCTGTGGCTCAGTCGTGGTGCGTTTGACTACATGACGCTCAGTAACCAAAGAACCGAGGTTTGAAACTTAGGTGCAACAAATCTGAGGTTGCGTATGGCTGGCTGAAGATGGCCGATAAAACAGAAATGGCTATGTCCGTCTCCCCTATCTTTGTCGGCACCCCGACAGGCACGTGCTTGTCAGCATCAACAGGAGAAGGCTGATAGAAGTACTGCCTGAGAAGGGGGTGCCGACACACACACACACACACACACGACAGTTCGACCGTCGATTTCGACGATGTCCACCGTGTGCCCCACAGCTGCAGCAGCGGTGGGAGCAGGGACGGTGACTTGCGCAGGGGGTTTATAGTGCCGGTAGACTTGCGCAGCATCTACCTACACTCTCTCCTCCTCCCCCGCCTGGGCCCGGTGTCAAGACAGAGTCAAGAAGACCGGAGACGAGGGAGGCCGCAGGTGGATGGCTCGGACGGATCCTCACCTCGGCGTTCCACCACACCCCCTGGTCCACACAACAATAACCAGAATTTCAACCAACACAACAGAGATTTGGAGGCTGGCACAGCCGAAGCCGCACCTGGGCGTGCCGCCAACGCCTGGCTCGGATCCCACACTGTGGTGAGAATGCCATAAAGGCCACATTAAAAAGGAGCCAT